TCAATTCGTCATTTTGGCGTGCATTTTTACTTATTTCTCTGTTAATCTAGAACGGTTGTAGAAAATATTTCATCTCACAATAGAAAACAGTTATATATGTATAAATATTCTTCGATATCATAACAATAACAAATAAATAAACAGAAAACTACCTTTTCTCTGTCTATTGATGTTCCGTCACCGTGCCGGATATTAGATACCATCGAGTCCAAACATTTTTTGCCGGGGTAGTTTAGACACAGTGTTGATATCGTCTATAGATACTTAGATTTTTACATTCTACTAATGCTGTTATATAACTTTGTAAAAAATGATCTTTAGTACGTGTTTTAACACAATCAAATGATAATGTACCAGGATCTTGTGAAATCCATACAGTGTTAAATCCAAGATTACATAACAAATTTTTGACGTTAGACGGCCAATAAATTTTACACAATTATTTGCATTTTCATACAAAAGTTTATGAATTTCATATAAAATATGAGGTTTATTAGTTATAATATGAATCCAATATTTCAGGATTTTATATTTTCTCAAAATAAGTGATATTATTATTTAACTTAAAAATTATAAACTTTATCTTCACTGTTTATATGTTTATACTATTGTTGTTGACATATCTCTTCATTTATAATAACCTCAGAATAATGTACATGTGCAAACAATAGATTCAAAAACAATATGTGGATAGGACCATCGTTCTGAAAGCACAGAAAGATAACTAACCGGTTTCAAACACAGGCAACACGACATGTGCACTAGTGATTCAGAAACTGCATGTTGACTTTTCGGTTCACGTCCGCTCTGATAAGGTTCGTGTTGCTTAATCTTCAGTACTAGTCGAATGTTTCCTATTATTTGCTACGTTTTCTTCTTGACTATTGTCTGTCTCTACTTACTATCTATTTGGGCCATATAGTTACATATATTTGTCTGTTTTACTGTTAGTTTGTATTGCTCTTTGGTACAAATGTATCTTCTTTCTATTTTACATCGATTAACATGAAAGTTGTTAAGCACGTTAATATTACCATATTATAGATCATTTTAAGCGGCGGAGGAAGCCGGACTTTATGTAGAGAGCCACAGACTTTCGGCAGGAAAGACTAGCAAATCCTAGGCAATTAAAATCGGAGTCGAACGCACCTTAGCCACGAGCTGGAACTCACAACCAGTCATGACAAGAGATCACTGTAGGAGAATTACTTCAACCACTCGGCCACTGACTTAGGTTCCTACTTTGTGTTATAAGAATCGCTCTTTATTCGGTTATGTTCTTGCATCTTCAAATTATTTGGTATCTAAAAAATGTATGAGAGCTATTTATAATAGAAAGCTATTTTATCTATTTTCTTTAGATTTATTTTTGAAATATTGAATTTACAAAATAGGACGAGTAATATAAATGTATCAAGAAATTTTCTAAGAAGCTATGATTAATACTTCTTCAAGCCGATTGTGAACAGAAAAGAGTAATTATGAGGTTCATGTATCCTTTTTTATTATTCCTATAATGAAGTCTCCACTGACTTTTAAGTCAATTAAACAATCTATTTTTTCTAAGCAATGGACAGTAATTGACTGTGTAAAAAAGTAATAGAATTACAAAACAAATAGAAAACAATTTGTTGCAGAAAATAGAAATCATAATTGGAGAAAGACACATTCATATCCTCTGTGTTGGAAAAAGACACAAACAAATAAAAGCAAAACAAAACACTAGAAGATTAGCTATGTGAATGATGTACATGTATCAATATAATATGTAGTTGAATATTTCTATTGAATTGGAAAAAAAAATTAACAGTACGGAATGTTGATTTTATTGGTCCACTTTGTATGTACAAATATACTTGTAAGCCAACTGCAACTGATCGTTACAGTTTATTCTTTTGTTGCACTGTAACACCGTACCACTGTCTCATGTTAGGGGAGGGTTGAGTGCTCACAAACATGTTTAACCCCGCCATATTCTTTTATGTGCCTGCCTGTTCAAAGTCTTAGTTGTTCAGTCGTTGTCGTTGGTTCATGTCTGTCATATTTGATTTTCGTAAATTGTTTTCTTATAAATTATGCCGTTAGTTTTCTCGTTTGAATTGTTTCATTTTTTTCATGTCGGGGCCTTATATAGCCGACTATACGGTAAGGATTTTTCTCATTGTTGAAGGTCGTACGGGGGGCCTATTATTGCTTACATTTCACTTCATTTGAACTCTTGGTGAAAAGTTGTCTCATTGACAATCATACCACATCTCCTTCTGTTTATATTGTAAATATTGTTCAGAGTTTCATATTTTTGGCCAAATACTAACATTGCTAGTGCATTACTATATTTCTTTCATGTATTCAATATTTGAGAGAAAACGTTGTATTTAAGTTTCAGATAACCACCTTAGCACTTCTAAAGACAAATAATACAAAATTAGACAAATCTTCAGGCATTTTACATTTCAAATATTAACTTTTTAAATGTATGCAATGTTTGAAATCTGATGTTCGAAGTCAAACAAAATGTTTAAACGATTACTAAACTTCAATTTCTTTAAGAAAGACTATCTATTTTGATCATTCTTCGTCAAATGTATCTTAAACACATTTCAAAATATCTGAAAATCAAAGGGTATAAAGGTTATAAATGAATGCGCTTAAGATCAAAAACAGATTAAATTTTTCGTGATCATAAAAATCTTGAGAATTAAAAGGACTTGTAACAAGTTACACGAGTTCTGAGAAAACAGACATTTTATAAACTTGATATTTGTTATCGTATCAAAGCAAATGTCACGTGAATATTGAACACCAAATGGAAGAGTTAAATCAGCGGATATAAAACAAATGTTTTATCATATTCTATCTTAAGATCAAAGCTTTAAGGATGCCAAAGCCGCTGTTAAACATAAAATGAATAAGTAAATATAGGTATTGCATGTTATAACTACTATGCGAACGAAAACTCCAACATCGTGCTCGTTCACACTTTTTTTTATCGTAGCTCTTTATAAAAAAGAATATTTGGTATAATGCCAAAGAGACAACTCTCCACCAGAGACCAAATGACATAGAATTTAACAACTATAGATCATCTAACGGCCTTCAACAATAATCAAAACCCATACCGCATAGTTACCTATACAAGGCCCCGAAATGACAAATGTAAAACAATTCAAACGATAAATATAACGGTCTGATTTATGTACAAAGTAATGAACGAAAAAAAAAATGATATACAGCAAAGAACGACAACTACTAAATCACAGGGTCCTGACTGTACTGTTGTAATAATTACTTTATGCAATTGAATAATCAACACTTTATATAAGTGTAAGATCAATATTATACAGCGATTATTGTTTGCTTAACGTCCAGTGACAAATATTTCATTCATGGTCAGGGTAACTTCTTGTTATGACAAAACTTTTTAAAAGGATCGAATTTTGTCATTTGTGATATTATGTCAGCATAAGTCAAAGTTTTTAAAAAAGATGTGCGATTTTCTATTCATGATATTCTGAATTTCATCAATATTCTACAATACCGATCATATGATGACAATAAGAAAGCACGTCGTCCTTTTCTAGAGGTAAAATGTATCCGAAGTGAGATTCAATAAATAATTTTACATCTTTAGGGCCGCCTACGATTGTATCTACTTTCAATTAATTTTAGTTAAAGATCGTTTAACGTTTAACCTGACAATATAACTGCATTCTTTTAAACATCTTTTCTACAGAAATCATTTGCTCGATTCAATACTGACATTCCTAAAGGAGAACTCGACTAGGTAGTAATAAGTATCAATCACTGTAAATTAATAACGTTTTGAAAAATGGGTTTTTGAATAGATTGCTGCATGCAGAAAAACGAGAGTTCCGTCTTAAAAAAATAGTCCCTTGAAACTCATTAATCATTAGCAACAGCAAAATGATAAGTTTTACTTACAGACACCTCTATTATGTTGTAATGAATTGACAATAGACTTCAGGAAGACACCAAAAACGTTATTGCATGGGGTATATTGCCATTGACCAAGGCTTAGAATTTCTCACGTGAAAACTCTTCATTTTCACAGTAATTTCAAGCTTTGTTTTTCAACAAGGATTTTTAATACATTTAAGCCTATGAAATATGCTAATACATTCTCGTCCTCTTAGTGTTCGTTTAGATTGTATGGTCAACAGTATACAGAAAAAACCAGATAGTGTATGTTCAACTCTAAACAGAATAATAGAGATTTGTATGGTCAACCCCTAAAAGGGAATTAACTGTCAAATTCATGTTCACCGATTTGACTTTAAATTTTCATATTTGACTTATAACAAAACGTATATCCAAATTACAAAAAGTATAAAATAAACAATAAAACAAGGCATGGAAACGATAATATGTATCAGCATTTTTGTGTATTTTAGTCTAGACGCCATCTAATTAACCATCGAGATAACCTCCGAAGACGGTCGACGGTCATATGTCCGAGAACACAGTTATTTCGTAGTGCATTTCTTTTTGACAATAAAATCAAATTAAAAAAAAATAGCACATACTCTATCTCAATAAGATTTTTACAGTGAGCTTCAAACATACTAATTTGTGACCTTTTTTAACTGGACAAAATCACTACTTTACATAAAAACGCATCGCCAAAATTATTTTAACATGTAGTAATTGCATCCCCCTACTTAATATTTCATGCAAAAAATATCAAGAAATAAATTTGGAAAGTACATGAAAAAAGACAAGTTAAACACTGTCCACATTGGGAACTATATTTGAAGACAACGAAAATCAAAGGACGATAACTTTGTCCTCGGACCTTATAACCCGATGTAAACATAAATATAAATATAAATAGATAGCGGGCACGTGCAATTGGATTTTTCTAGGTCTGTTTGATTTCATATCATAGGTTAAAAAAATATGTAAATTATCGTTTTTACCAGTCAACCAAATGGTTCACCTGTGTTTCACTTGAAATGTTGACATTATTTTCCTTTTTATAGCTGAACACACCTAAAGCTAGTACATCCTAAACATAATAACCAAGATTGTGTATTGTCAACCCTAAACAGAAAACCCAGACTGTGTTTGGTCAACCATTAAAAGACTAACCCGGAGTCTGCATGGTCGACCCTAAACATTAAACCCAGACTTTGTATGGTCAACCTTAAACAGAATAACCCATAGTGTGCATAGTCAACCCTTAATAGAAAAACCCAGATTTTGCATAGTCAATCCTAAACAAAAAAACCCAGACTTTGGAATTTGCATTGTCGACCCTAAACAGAAAACCCAGACTTTGCATAGTCAACCCTAAACAGAAAAACCCAGATTATGTATCAGCCACCCTAAACAGAATAACCCGATTCTGTATGTTCACCCTTAAATATAATTTCCTATATCTTGTAAAGTCAACCCTAAACTGTATAGGCTGTGTATTGCTTACCCCAAAAAGATAATCCAAATTGTGGATCTTCAACCCTAGATATAATAACTTAAATCGTGTAAGGTCAACCATAAACAGTATAGGTGGTGAACGGCTTACCCTAAATAAATAATCCGAATTGTGTATGGGCAGTCCTATAAAGTGTAGGTTGTGTATGGTGTACCCCTTTAAAAGATTGCCAACCCTAAACAGAATAGCCAGCTTCATGTTTGGGCAACATTAAAAAAAATAGCTCAGATATTTATGGACAATCCTAAAAGCATAACCATGATTATGTTTGATCACACCTAAACAAGATTAATCTATATTGTACATGGTCAACATTTTAAGATTATAAAACAGATTCCAATATCTTTTACCTAAGAGCATATGCGTTTCGTTGATACATGAGCTTTTTAAGATATTACAGGCTGTAGTAAAAATAATAGTACAACTTGCTGGTTTTATGAACTGTTCCATTAAATTGCCAATAATAACCCTCTCCGTACGGTTGATTCAGTGTTAATGACAGTTATAGTAGTTGTTTCACATTAAACATTTAACACTAATGCCCTTTACGATCAGCAATATTGGTATTGATGTGGCTGCAATGTGTTGTCAGTTATTACAATTTTTTACTCTCTATTTTTCTTTTGCTTCTGTTTATAAGAAGTGCAAGCTGTTTTCAAAGTTGATGGCTATTGCATAATAAAATTATGTAAATAAACAATTAGAAGTGAGCTGTTTCCTGTGTTCTTTTCTTTTCTTTTTTTTCCTGTCTTGTTTTCTATATATCTACATTTCTATATTGAGACGGAAAACCGACTTCACAAAGCAAGAGATATTTAGAGATTTACAAACTGTCTTCAGCTATAGGAAAGTGTTTATTCAATATGTCAAGCCATAATAGCCGTGAGCCATAAAAATTATCATGATTTTCTCGATAGAGGATTGCTGCTTACAAGGAGTCAAAGGGTTCCAAGTGGTAAAGTTGAAGTTGTCCCTTCGAAAGTTTTGAGGACGCCATCACGAGTTGGTTGGCCGTTATGGAATATTTATGCCACAGATGACCACAGATATGTTCCAATTTTTGTATCAACAATCCAGAGCCGTAACTTCTGATGAGGCAGACGAGGCAATCGCCTCGTCTGAATTTCTAGCAAAAAAAAATTATAAGAAGAAAATGAAGAAAGCGATTGAATCGGATGTGTACTTACGTAACACGACGGTTGACACATGTGGAGCAGGAACTGGTAATACTTCCGGAGCACCTGAGTTCACTTCCAGGTTTCGGTGGTGTTCGTGTTGCTCAGGGTTAAATTTTCTATGAAGTGTTTGTATAGACTTCTTTTATCCGTTTTTTTTCTTTTTTTTTCTTTTTTCATGGCGTTGTCGGTTTTTCTTCGACTAGTTTTTTTTTAATGTCCCATTGGTATCTTCCACCTCTTATTTGTTTTTGTGGCGTTATTTGACACAGATATATTGTTCAATCTTTCTGTTCGTATTATCTTTTCTTTTCTACTGAGTTGTGTTTACTTAACATTACACCCCGGTTCTATTGTCATACTTCACAGTTTCTATTTCTGAAACAAGTGTAGATTGAATAGAAATATTGTTACGAATAACAATGGATTTTGACCACAGGGTGTGACGAGCGGGGTTTCTGGAAACCCCTGCTTCTACATCCCGAAAACACAGTCCATTGTTATTCATAACAATATGATTTTTTTAATAGCATGAACAGAAGAGATTGCGAATAGTGTTCACTACAAGTTGTTTCAAGACATATTTCAGGAAATTCCAATATCGAAAAAAATCTTTAGCATCTATTTTGAATTAAAAGAAAATCATTTAAATACTCCTCAGCTTGAAGCTACAATTTTAAGTCCATATGGCAATGTCTTAAAAAATATATACATAAAAAGAACTTTTATGTAAATTATACATTAAAACATATAGTTTACATTTGGACTAAGTCTTAATCATAAAAATAAATTTATTAATGTTTGGATTGTTGAAGATAATGATAGCAACCAGGGACGGATCCAGCCATTTTTAAAAGGGGGTGCCAACCCAGGATAAAGGAGGGGGGTTCCAATGTCCCCATTCAAAAGAATTGATCGTAGAAAAGGGGGATTCCAACGCTCGGAACCCCCTCATCCCGCTTTGAATTCCCACCAAAACGGGAGTTCCTACGTACTAGCATGCAATCTGTATTTTTGTATGTTAAGCGTGTCCTGTCGTCCAGTTTCTAATCCAGACACACCTATTCCTCAGTATGTTCGAAATAATGTTTGTTTGTTTAATGTTGAGAAGAGATGGGGGGGGGGGTGCTTTTTTTTATAAAACCGTAAGTTACATGTAAAATAAATTTAAGATTACCTAATGGGTTATAAATATCGCGTTATCTTTAGACTCTTAATTCTGCCAAATCCAACGCCTGACTCAAAATGTCGTCCGTCTCATACCCGTCCATTTTTTTTTGCATTAAGAATGCACGATATGACCAACCTTGACCTGCTGATCCATATTAGCACATGGATTAAACGGGAATATGCAAAACAGTAACTTTGACATTTCTAAAATCTACTCACTTGTCAAAGTTCGAATGAAGACCGAAAAAGTAAGGTTACTAGTGGTGTTTCATTTAAAAAAACATTCTCATTAATCATGGTTTGATATTGTCAAAAAAATGCTATCCCTTCTTTTTCATTTAATATTCAATGTAAACAAATATACAGTGGAGATCACTTCCAACCTCTCACTAGAACTGTCAGAATAATCTGTCATAGAACTGTTCTAAACTGTCCTAGAACAGTTCTACCTAGAACAGTTCTACCCTAGAACTGTTCCAAGTAGAACTATCAGAATCAGTTCTAGGTAGAACTGACCAAATCAGTTCTATGTAGAACTGTCAGGATCAGTTCTAGGGTAGAACTGTCTAAAACTGTTCTAGGTAGAACTGTCCAAATCAGTTCTAGTCGTAGAACTGTCAGCAGAACTGACCAAATCAGTTCTAACCGTAGAACTGTCAGCAGAACTGACTAAATCAGTTCTAACCGTAGAACTGTTAGCAGAACTGTCTAAAACTGTTCTAGCCGTAGAACTGACCAAACCTGTCAGGATTGTAGAACAGTTCTAAATGACGTCACTGCAATTTTTTAATATATATTATATTCTTTTGACTTATTTATATTAAGACAAAAAGTTCTTAAAACTGTTCTATGGATAGAACTGACTAAATCAATTCTAGCCGTAGAACTGACCAAATCAGTTCTAATCGTAGAACTGTTCTAGTCGTAGAACTGACCAAATATTTTGTCAGTTCTAGGTAGAACTGTCTAAAACTGTTCTAGGGTAGAACTGTCAGGATCAGTTCTAGGTAGATCTGTCTAAACCAGTTCTAGGTAGAACTGACCAAATCAGGTCTAGGTTAGAACTGTTCTAGCTAGAACTATATAAGGTGTCAGGATGACAGTTCTACATACTATCCTAGAACAGTTCTCCTGACAGATTCTGACAGATTTGATGAGAGGTTAGAAGTGATCTCCACTGTAGGATTTAGCATCGGGTGTAAGTTAGTTATACACTTCGGGATACGGTGTGTCTGGATAAGATACACCTCCGGCCTCCGGCCGTCGGGGTTTCTTAGCCAGACACACCTATCCCTCAGTGTATAACTATTACTCATATAGCGAACCTTTTTTGGGGCATATTCAGGATATGATCCTTCTTTTTTTCACATATGGTACTTGGTTTTTGTCGTATATCGCTGATTTAAACGACCCATATATTTATACTTCGATTTGTTATATTTACTTTAGTGTTTGTAAACTAGAGTTTACCTGCCATTAAAATTTTTTGTATGGTTTAGTATTATAATGTAGATTTTGGCACGCACTTATATCAAAACCAGCTTAAGAGCTTAAGAACTAAACAAACAATAATTTAAAAATTGAACAATGCAAAATAATTAATCATGAAAACTAACAGCAATACCCTAGAAAATATTGATGAAAATAATACACATAAAAGAAAAGGCTCGGTATTCGAATATAAATTCTGTCACGCGCCAATATTAACAACAGCTCATGAAGCTGAAATAACAACCATAATAATCACGATATAAAAAAATAATTAAAACTAAACTACAATATATATAATTAATCATGAAAAGTGACAATGATATCCCAGAATATTTGATTCAAATGATATAAATTAAATTAAAACTGAATTAATAGATAAGGAAAAATAAAATAAAGAAAACAAGAATGTGTCCATAGTACACGGATGCCCCACTCGCACTATCATTTTCTATGTTTAGTGGACCGTGAAATTAGGGGTCAAAACTCTAATTTGGCATTTAAATTAGAAAGATCAAATCATAGGGAACATGTGTACTAAGTTTCAAGTTGATTGGACTTCAACTTCATCAAAAACTACCTTGACCAAAAACTTTAACCTGAGGCGAGACAGACGGACGAACGGACGGACGAACGGACGCACAGACCGAAAAACATAATGCCCCTCTTCTATCGTAGGTGGGGCATGAAAATAAATACATAATGATTCAATAAATAAACCATTTTATTCAAAACTGTTCTACAT